CCGCGGTGCTTGTACCATTCCCGGGGAGTGAAAAATGGATCTGATAATGGTACCTGTATGACTTTAACCATATCTCAAAAATATTTGATTTCATCCTGGTTTATTCTAATTGTCTGTACTTGTTTGAATTCTTGTAGTTTTCTCCAAGGACCCGAAACCGATCCGGCCACTGTGAGGAAAATAAGAGAGGCAATTGATAACCAAACAGATGTAACTGTGCAGCTCATTAACTACACTAAAAGTGGTACATGTAGATTTCAGCTCCATTTTATTTTGTTTTGGGCCACATTTCTTTGCCAATATGAAGAACCTCAGCCTACACTTATGCTAATATAACTTTAAGGCCTTTATTTATGTATTTATTTGTTTAATCATCCAGGCAAAAAGTTCTGGAATCTGTTTCATCTTCAGCCTATGCGTGATCAAAAGGTACTTAGAATGCATTTTTAGAGTTCTATATACACAAGTCATTGTAGATTGGGAAGAATATCCGTCGTCAAAGATCTTATATATACTGTTTGATTGTGAAAACAGGGAGAAGTGCAGTATTTCATTGGGGTTCAACTAGATGGAAGTGAACATGTTGAGCCACTTCATAACTGTATTCCTGAGGCTACAGCAAAAGAAAGTGCAAAACTGGTCTCGACTCTCCTTACATGCCTCGCTAATTCCTCTTGTAATCTGGAATTCCTTTCTTTGCTATACCAGTGGTTTGTTTATTTTACAATACATTCATTGTTGTCCCTCTCAGGTGAAAGAAACTGCAGAAAATGTTGATGAAGCAGTAAGAGAACTTCCAGATGCCAATCAGGTAATGTCCAAATTTTTAGAATACTGAAACAACTTCAGACTAGATTAAGTTCAGATTTAATAAAAACGCTTGACCAACATGCAGAAACCAGAGGATTTGTGGATGAACCATTCAAAGTTGGTTCACCCAAAGCCCCATAGGAAGGACAGCCCAACTTGGAGAGCTATTCAAAAGGTATGATACTTGGATGTATGTATGAATGACAACATTTTGGCTGATGTTTCTGATTTATTTCGATTGTGTATTTTTTTATCTTGAAGAAAAATATGCTGGTCAGGTTATTAGGAAAAGAGAATTATAGTTTAGAATTGACATGCAATGTTTATTACTGTTCTGTTCAAATACATAAAAGAAACTTGGACACTACTTAAGAACGAGACACAGTACTGAGACTTATTGGACACCATTGGCATGTGTCTAGCTTATTTGACGTTATTTAGAAGTAGATTTCGCAAATACTATGTAGTTAAAAGACATTTTATGGCATTCCCAAAATGTAGCAGACAATGAGGCTTTCTCTAAGCAGATAAGGAAATTTATAACTTTGACTTTTATTTAAAGAACTCTTATCTTTTGAGTATGAACATGCATATGTACTTCTATGCATGCATAGACATCCATATATCCATACATACATGGAAAACAGGTATGGATTCATATACACATGAAGCATCCTAATATTGAGGAATTCAACTTGTTGGCATGTCCTTTTATAGTTTTCATCCCAAGTCTTCTCCTTATATAGTTGAACCCAATGTACTGTAAATGGTAATATAATTGGCTTCAACTCAATCTTTCCAAATGATTTTAGTCGTTTTCACGTAATGCTAATGATCATGACTGTATATTAACCTAGAATTAGTTGGTTTTGTGCCAAAACATCTGGAATGTTCAAACAATAATAATAATGTCTTTTGAAATAGGACGTCATATGTTCCTTGTTTGGTCCTGAATTTTGATTTGTTCTGCTGATTCACTTTCTTTTTTTCTCATGTCTGCTCATGTGGTCCACAATTTTCAGATTCTAGATGGTGGAGAACAGTTAGGGTTGAAGCATTTTAAACCAATTAAGCCTTTGGGATCTGGTGATACTGGCAGGTTTGTTAGTTATTCATTTATTATTCTTTAGTTGTGGAAGGTATTATGCGCTTACCGATTGCCAACGGGGATGTGTTCGGACATCACGTGATTAGTTCAACTTGTGCACCGAGAACAGCTGGCTGATATGTGAATTGACATTGATTATCTTATAACAATTTTGGGATTTTATTGCATGAAATAGTAGTATAACTCTGCTACAACCACCTCAAATAAACATCTGTTTTGTTCTTGAACATACATTGACTGATGGGATCAAACTCATCAAAGTTGGCACACAACGTTATTTGCTGTCCATATGCTTCCCAGTCAAGCACAGTCAAGTACTTTCAGAAGGTTCTACCATGATTGCATTTGAGTAACAACTTGTACAATCTTTTCTCATTTTCATAACTAGTAGTTCTTCAAAATTTTTCCAGTCACTAAATGGCATTGTTTGCATAAAATGGCTGATTTTACTGAATATATTCATCTGATGTTGGAATAACCGATGCATCTCTCCATCTGAACTTGATGCAAACCAGCTGAAAATTATGGTTGATCATCCTGGATTTCTCTATTGTCTTTATTTTCAAAGGAGTTTCACTTGTTTTAGGGGTTATAGCCAAGTTCTTCTTCCATTTTTGTGTTCCTGAATCGAACTTCTACTTGTTGCTGGTATGACAGTGTGCATTTAGTGGAGTTGTGTGGAACTGGACAACACTTTGCCATGAAAGCAATGGATAAGGGAATAATGCTCAACCGCAACAAGGTACCAAATTGGAAGTGGCTAGACATGCTTTTGACAGTTCCTGTAGTATTCCATGGCAATATGAGCATCCACACTATTATTGCCTTTAAGTGAACATTTTATCACTTAAATATTATTCATACAAACTTTGAATCATCAAATTCTACCTTAATCCTTTGTGCACAAATGATGGAATGACCCACTGATGTTTCAAGCCACTAATGTTTCTAAATAAAATTGCTGGCACAGAAGTGGAATGATAGATCATGCACCAAGGCCATGAACGTTCTCTCTCTCTCTCTCTCATGTGTTTCACCATCCTCAAAAGCTAGGGAGAAGTGAAAGATTGGTACAGCCGGAATATAGTTTATTAACATCATTTCTCTGTTATAGGTGTCAATTTCATGCAGTTTGTACTAATTTACTATTGGTGCTCCTCTATGAAGTACGGATACTTCATTGAGGTCGGCGTATCCATATCGGATACGATACTCATTAGATACTCGATGATACATATCGGATACACCTCTTACGTATCTGATAATAATTAAATATTAAGATACTTCACGGATATTTTTGTGTTCAAGTAACATATAATTTTTGAGTTTAATTTTTAACATTTCTTTTCGAATTCACATACCATACAATACATTAACAAAAATTCATACTATTTCAAAGATACATGAGTATTTTTTAAGTATTATCTACAATTACATGTCAAAAGAGCATAAAATAAATCCATTTCATTATAGTATAAGCAAAAATTACTTCTAAATAAACCGACTTGATAAATATTAGTTTTGATTCCTTTAATTAATCACATCACTTTGTGAATATACCATAGTGATACGATACATATTTTCTTGAAACTAAAAAGAATTACTAATTTTCCTTATTATGTTAAAGAATTATCAAAATATATAGGTATTAAGTTGGTTAAAAATATTAAATATATTTTATTATAGCCGTATTTTGGCCGTACTCATATCCTATTTTTTTAGATTTTGTTGTATCACCGTATCCAAATCGTATCGCACCCGTATCCCATATCCATATCCATGGTGCTCCTATATTTCCTTTGACTGGATTTCTTTCCTTCCTTTGCTGCAGGTGCATAGAGCTTGTGCAGAAAGAGAAATCCTGGATATGTTGGACCACCCTTTTCTTCCAGCTTTATATGCATCGTTTCAGGTAAGGCTAATAATCCACATAAATTTGCATAATGTTGAATGGGGACTGCATGTGTGTGGAACAATTAGTTGGGC